GGTTTACAGAGTCAGCATATTGCCCCCAACAACAATCCGCGTCCTCATTTTACCCACCTCGGAAGGATGGAAGGCTGAGTCAACCCTGAGCCGGTGAGATTCGAACAGCCGAACTGCTGAACTGCAGTCAGCTGAAGTAGCCTGCAGTGCTGCATTTAACCACTGCGCCACCTCGGCTCCTTTAATTAATAATTCTGGACCACCTGGAGGACCAATGGTTCCCCACCTGTGATACACTATGCAACTTGGGTAGGAAATCCAAATCCAAAACAGAACTTGGCCATTGCAGCGAATGGGTGATCTGGAGGTAATAGGCAATTGGTTGAGGTAAAGGCAGGTAAAGGCTTCCCTGTCAGTCGTGTCCCAATCTGTAGCATAGTGCTCATCTCTTTTTCTTGGCCAGGGGAAATCAGCGTTGTCCGAAGACAAATTCCTTAGTCATGCGGCCAGTATGGCTATGTGCCAAAGCCGTATCAAATGCTATTACCTTCCCACCAAAATGGTACCTCTTAATCTGCTCGCATTTACATGCTTTCAAACTGCGAGGTGGGACAGGAAAGAGTTCACTTCATTTGCGCGGTGCTCGGGTCTTGAACCTGGGCTGTCAACTGACAAGCTCAGTCAATCAATTGACAAGTTAAAGACATGCCTCAATAGGTATGAACCCATAAAGGAATAAAACCCATAGAAAACACTTGTGCTTTTCAAAGGAATTATTTTATTAATTATAATTGACATAGTATCCATCTTACTTGATGTACCAGTTTGTCAAGGTCTGAATTATAAGGTTTTTTTTCTCCATTAAACAAAGCTGGGTTCACTCCCAGTAACCTTTGTTCATCATATCTCATTCCTCACAGTCTTCTAAAAATAATAAATATCTTGACCAAGGAGAGCAGAATTCTGTAATTGAACACTGCCTGCAGCTGTCAAGTTTTATTTTACTTGTCCGGAAGAAACTTTTCATACTTTCTGCCTGTCTAATTGAAGGCCAGATGACCCATCCTAATCCAAACAATTAAGTAGGATAAATACATTTTAAAACAATGAACGTCAAAATTAAAACAAAAAACCCTAAAACTTTTCACATTCAGGCCCCCTGTGCAAAAAAGCAATTCCTGTGCTGAAGGATCTTGCAATTTAAAAATTGTCCACTGGGAGCAAAAGGTAAGGGATATTTGGTAGCAAGCTGAATATTTATATTCAGTTCTGGTTGTGTTATCAGTCTTGAAATTGAGATAGTAAACTTTTAAGCTGTAAGCTATAACAGACATGGACACATAGTTTGGGGAAGAATAACATGGTTTAAAAATGTGGATGTGATTCTGAACTGTATTCCACTTTCTGGGGTACTAATAGAGAAAGATACAAGAAGCTGAATCAGTTTGAATCCATTCCCAATACACTCCCACTTCTAAGAAAAAGAAAATCCAGACAGCTGGCCTTTGATAACTATCATTCTACCCACTCTTACCATTTTGCGGATGGCTGCATTGGAGTGTTCTGCAGCAGTCGCAATAAGTTCCAGGGATTCTATGTAAGAGGAGGAGTTAAAAAAAATAAAAATAATGTACGTTATTTTGCTGGCCTTACTCTACAGAGAATTAAACACAGGCCATACCCCAGTTTATAACCATTTTCAACCATTTCCTGATGGATTCCTTTCAAGTGTGCTGACTGCTAGGGTAGATGGCTAGGTTAATAGCTAGAAGCGAAGCCACTCCAGTTTCTAGGAAGCAGTTCCTAACTCCCAGGTGCTGAACCAGAAGCATCCCATGCATATGACAGGTTCCAGTCATCTTTTCCAGCCCCAGGAATCCCCATTAAAAAAACATGCCCAAATCTGAGATTTGGAAACGTCGTGAAATTTATTGATATGTCTTTAATTTCATTGGAGGGGGAGAAAGAAGGGGCGCCTCTTATGAACGCAGCCTGATGCTCACCACATTGCACAGTCCCGATGGAGTGGAGAGCTGCCATTATGACTAGCCAACATTATGACTGATCACTGTTAGTATAATGAATTCTGAACCTGCCTTGCCTTGGTCCGGCACTTCTTTCAATTTTCCAGATGTTACTGATCTCCTAATGACCCAGGAGCCAATCATACATTATGTCACATTCTATTTTCCCCTCCCGTGCTTGCTGTGGACTAGGATACTGTCCCTTTTCTTCTCCTTACTAATCATCATCCCTTGAGAGCTGCACTCACTTTGGGCATCCTTGCAGTCAGGCGAGTCCTGGGGCAGTTTCAGGAGATAGTCCTTCAGAAGCAGCTCGTAGCGAGGGATTCTCTGGACCGGTTCCAGCATATGATGCTGCAGGGTCAAGTTCCCACATATCTCTTCCCGCTGCAACAGAGAGGGATCTCAAGAGAACTGTCTGCCTGGCAGCTCTCCAAGGGCAAAATGCCTGCCCTTGCAGGGAACTAAGACCCAGGCAACTAAAGGCAGAATTTGCATGGGTGAGTCAAACATCCCAGGAGATCCATGAGGCTTTGCTCTTTCCCAATAAATCCTTCCAAATGCACAGATTTTGTTTGGATCTCGGGCCACAAAGTGAAACCTGGACTGTCCCATGGAATCCTCATTGCTAAGCAATGGCTTCCCATCGCCCCTTCTTATTTATGCTGTACAATACTCACAGGAAGGTGAATATAGTGAAATAATCATCCACCCATCCACCAAATTTTGCTTCTTTTCTTTGGGGGCACATAAATCAAGCAAAGTTACTCCTCGCCATATAATATTCTTTCAATATTCTGGAGGAGACATGCTGGTTCCATGTTAAAATAGGAACAGGATTGTGTCCATCCCCTATACAGTTTCAGCTATTAGATTATGCTGTTTGTTTGGGGGTGGGGGAGGGGTGGGAAAGTAGGAGGGAGGGGCACATTGTTGCCACAAAGTCTAAATAGCCTAAACAAAAACACAGGTGACCAACCTGTATTTCATGGATAATGCCCTTGAACTGTGTTGAGCGTTCCATCCAGGTGTTTACCAGTTCCATGGCACGGTCAAAGTTCTTCACATACTCGCCATACATCTTGAGAAAGGGAGCCAGTTTTTGCAGGATATCCCCAATTCGTGGGTGTTGGTCCCTGGGAGAAATTGAAATAATGAGGTTTAGGAAGGGAAAAGAAACATGAGACTCTTCATTCACAGGTTCCATTGCACATAGAATGCCAGCTAAACTATGCTGATTTCTTATTGTGCAGTACAACAAATTAAATCACTCTGGTTCGTGAAACCACGGCTTAGGGTATTGTGTAGAACTCTACAAATGACTTGGTTCCGTACTTTCCCATCAAAGGGAAAATTTTACAACAAATTTTAACTGGAAGGTAAATTACAGTAAATAATTATTCATTAGAACTCAAGAATACTAACATTAGGGAGATTCAGAATTCTCAAGCCTTCTGACTTCCAAAAATAAAGATGAAAGCCTTCTGGAATGATTTTAGTGTAACATTTGTGTTCTGCCCCACAGTTAAACAAATTGTTTCAAAAAGGGAGAACAATCATACTACTAGAGATAAATATGCACAATTAATTGTGGCTCAAAAGCAGGATGAGATAAAAGATCTATTTACAGCTCTGCAAAATGCTAAAATGGAGACAGGTGAATACCGTGAGGAAGGAAGTCCTTCACAGCATTGGGACCATGGCAGACACATCGCAAAAATAAGAAACATAAAATGAACATTTCAATTAAGGTTTAGAATTGCAGATTTACCGAGAACTATGACTCCCTGGAAAATATTTAAGAAAAAGGGAGACATTTGGAAGACATTTGTTCCCACTACAACAGGGGTGTCAAATTCAAGGCCCACAGGCCACATCTGGGGTGCTTGGATCTGGCCCGCGGGGCCACCCTGGAAACAGTGAATGACACATTCTGCGGTACCTCTACCAGTGAAAGTGTGGCTCGGGAGGCAAGCTCCATACGCGGCCCTCCCAGGCTCTGTTTTCACTGGCAGAGGACTGCAGGAGGCCCTTGCAGCCAAAAACAGAGCCCGAGAGGACTGTGTGCGGACTGCAGGATGTTGAGCTGGCCATGCCCACTCCCCCCCTCCCCCCATGATCAAACACAACCCCCATGCAGCCCTCAATGAAATCGAGTTTGACACGCCTGCACTAGAACAAGTAGCAAAGCTAACAAAAAAATGGTTTCTTTAGTATATTACCTAATCTGGTACCCTAACTCGGTTTGGTTTACTTTTTATTTTGGGGTAAAATTACAATCCTGTTTTCGGAAATGAGTGACTAGTCAGTGATCCTAGAATTGGACAGGCACAGCCAACTCTGTTATTTCTGTTATTTATATGAATCAGGAGACAAATCCTTTTCTGGCCTGAGGTGCCTCAGTTCCAAACCCCACACAAGCCTATTATCAAACAGCTTTTATTTCCTCTGCTGCAACACTGCCAACAGTACCTACAAAATTACTGGTATCTACCGTGTTTCCCCGAAAATAAGATCCGATCTTATTTTTTTCCTCCAAAAGAGGCGTTAGGTCTTATTTTGGGAGGATGCCTTCCAGCGTCTCATCTCGCTGCTGCAGGAACTCATGTGGCCACTGCCAGCCCACATGAATAGAAGAAATAGAACAACACTGAAAGAATGCAGAAAGTTCCACAGCAAATATAGCTTGTGAAATTTGAATCCACAACAGGTTACATTTAATAACTAACAAAAAGTGAAGATTTAGAAATAATGGTTCACCGACAAATGCGCGATAGACATATGCGTGTCGACAAAACCGCGACGGACAAATGAGCGCCATCAAAATCGCTAATTGGTTTTTGACAAAATCGCGCCGACAAATGCACGCTGACAAATGCGCGATGACAAAATCACGTTGACAAATGCACGATGACAAAATCGCGACGACAAATGCGAGACGACAAAATCGCGTCATCAACAAACTATAGACAGCCCAGTGAGTGTGCTGGGCCTTTAACATAGTGGGACGCGTATGTAAGTTATGACCCTAACCCCAACCCTAACAATTTTTCGATTTTATTGTGCTTGTCATCGCGCTTTTGTCAGTGCGATTTTGACATTGCGAATTTGTGGGCGCGATTTTGACGTTGCGTTTTAATCGGCACTATTTTGTCAGTACCCATATGTCTATCGCGCAATTGTCAGGTGATGGAAATAATTGGTTACATCCGAAATGAGAAAAAATAAATATCGATAACGGGAAGCTATAAAAGTGTAATTGTGATTTTAATGTTTGGAAAATGTTGAATAAAACTATTGTTTTTTTAAAAAAATAGAAATTAATCAGTTAAAAGATATGTCTAAAAACCCCACCGTGCGATACAAAAAGGTTGACCATGGATTATACGCTGGCAGGTTATTTTGGAAATTGCTGGAGGATATGAAGTTTGAAAAGCCGAGGTGGCGCAATGGTTAGGGTGCAGTACTGCAGGCCACTTCAGCTGACTGTTATCTGCAGTTCAGCGGTTCTAATCTCACCGTTGACTCAGCCTTCCATCCTTCCGAGGTGGGTGAAATGAGGACCCAGACTGTGGGGGCGATATGCTGACTCTGTAAACCGCTTAGAGAGGGCTGAAAGCCCTATGAAGTGGTATATAAGTCTAACTGCTNGTACATACACAAATCCTTCATTTCTTCAACTGAAATGCCAATATTTTAATCCTTCTGATGCAAGTACAAAATCCTGAAATCATTAGTCAAAAGGCACATTGTTCAACAGCGAAAAGGGAAAGGATCCTCCCCCGCTCTTTACATATATACATTTTTTTTTTCAATTCATTATAAATATGCATAGGAATAAAACAAAATCAGGAGTCATTGAAAATCGGTTAAAAAGTGCCACGGGGTGGTAGGAAGAAAAAGGGTGGTTTTTTTCCCCCCCATTTACAAAATACAATCAATAGAACAAACAACGTAATAATTTAATCAAAAAGTAGCTATGACATCATCTTTTTTCCCCCTTTCCTGACAAAAAATGGAGACAGGCCATTTGGGAGGGGGGTTGGTTGGATGTCCTCTGTGGGGGGGCCTCCTCGGCTTTATTAGCCCACCTTTCTGAGAAAGCCAGAAGAAAAATTGCATATTTTTTACTTCTCAGCTGAATGTGAAACAGCCACCCGACATTCTGAAGATCATGGAGAAAGAGGACAGGAGGCACTCAAAACATCTTAAAATCTTTCCTGAGTCGTAAGGCTTTTTAAAAAGTTCGCTTGCTGCTCGTCGGACTGCACAACCTCCAATCGAGCTAACTGGGTTTATTATGGCTATTATGTTTTTTTTAAAAAGGGACGCCGTGGCTCGGTGGCTAAGACGCTGAGCTTGTCGATCAGAAAGGTCGGCAGTTCGAATCCCTAGCGCCGCCTAATGGAGGGAGCTCCCGTGACTTGTCCCAGCTTCTGCCAACCTAACAGTTCGAAAGCACGTAAAAAATGCAAGGAGAAAAATAGGGATCAACTTTGGTGGGAACAGCGTTCCGTGCGCCTTCGGCGTTTAGTCATGACCACGGAGACGTCTTCGGACAGTGCTGGTGAGCACCGCCCCCTAGAGTCAGGAACGAGTAGCACATATGTGCGAGGGGAACCTTTACCTTACGTTTTTAAAACTTACTGGTTGGTGGGTCAGATGCTTAGTTTGGGGATTTCAAATCAGTTGTACCTATTTTGCATAGTTTTCTGGTTTTTCTGCATCCGTCGCCCACCTCTTTCCAATCGTTATTTTCAAGGGGAAATTAAGTCACAAGGACCGAAAATCTAAGCAGGTAAAAAAGATCTGAAGCAGTGATTCTTAAGTTTAGCAAGTTTTAAGACACATGGAGAGCTCGGCTCCCAGAATTCCCCAGCCGCGGCGATGCTTAAATAAAACTGATTTAAAACACTTGTGGGTTGGGGGGGCAAGAAGAGCAAGGGGTTGGACTAGAAGACCTCCAAGGTCCCTTCCAACTCTTGTTAATCTGTTAAAAAATATATTCCTAATTTTTTGGTTCTTGGCTATTTAGAATGTGTGTCCCTCACACGGTTGTACCGGCAACGTGTGGTTGGGATACTGTGTGTGTGTGTGTGTGTGTGTGTGTGTGTGTGTGTGTTACTGCACAAAAGTGTCCAGCTTCATGGGAAGAAACTCGGAGTTTACTCTTGTACACATTTGATAACTGTCATGCTAGTTAGTTTAAAACCAGGGTTCTTCAACATTGGCCAATTTAAGCCTGGTGGACTTCAGCTCCCAGAATTCTGGGAGTTGAAGTCCACCAGGCTTAAAGTGGCCAAGGTTGGAGAGCCCTGGTATAAAAGGTTTAACTAGTTTTAAAACTAGTCTTAACTAGTTAAGAAGGTACAAAAGAGCTGAGCGGCAAGAATTATCCAAGAAAATGAAGATGCCTTTCCTATACGAGGAATCCTTTTTTTTTTAAGATAAAAGAGTTGAAATTTCTCTGGACGTCACTGGCTAGGCCGAGGCCCGGCCGAATGCCTGCTGAAATGCAATGTTAGAGCCCTCCAACCCACGGATACAGGTAGTCCTCGGCTTACGACCGTTCGCTGGGCGACCATTCAAAGTCATCATTTGGGGGCTACTTATGACCCGGATCTGAAGATCCGACGGTCACCTCCCCTGCAGCCACGCGAGCGGGTTTCATTCGCGTTGGAGAGGCCATCGCAGTCTCGCGATCAACGTGACTGTGTTTTGCTGAGGGGAAACTAGGCAAAACTAGCCCCCCCCCCTCCCAGAGGATCATTGGTTCGCTTAATGACCGCGACGCTCGCTTAATGACCACGGTGGCTGCTTTAGGACTGTTGAGTTCACTTAATGACCACTAAGCTCGTAAAATCAGGTTGTTCCCATGACTGACCCATTTTGACACGATTAACGTCCAGGATGTGCAAGCTCCACCGTGGTCGTAAGTCGAAGACTACCTGGAGTGAAATGTATGAAAACCATGGGGCAGATTTAGGAGGGCACCTAGGAACCCTTTGCATTGCAAAGAAGAGCTTGGGATGATATCCAATAACTTAGGAAATTTGCACAAAGGCTTTAATGCCAAGGATGGAAGAGAATTTGGTCTAGCAGCAGCTGTGAGTCAAAAAAAAAAGGAAAATATTTGCAGCAGAAACAGACAAAGGAGTCCTTAAGGGTTTTAGCACAGCCTGCCAGCTGTGTTGAGAAGCGCCTGGTGTTTCTTTCTTTTTTTTTGCTGTGATAGTTCCCACACATCTGGGGAAGGGGAGGGCTCCATCCCAGAGCAGAGGCGGGCAATTACGGCACGTTTACGCCTTGTGGACTTCAACTCCCAGAATTCCTGAGCCAGCCATGTCTCCCAGGGCGTCATGTGATCAATGCTGGCTCGGGAATTCTGGGAGGTTAGGTTTAGGTTTATTGGATTTATATGCCGCCCTTCTCCCAAGGACTCAGGGCGGTGTACAACATTAAAAAAAACACATATTACAAAAATTAAAAGGGACATTAAATAAAGTATCCAAAAAAAACCCCCCAATTGATATTTACAATAAAAATTTAAACATTAAATTAAAATTAACAACCAAATTAATCCTATATTTTATTCTATTCAGGCCAGGCCGGCTTGCTGGAAAAGCCAACTTTTTAGGGCGCGTTGGAAGGACCGGAAGTCGGGGATTATGCAAAGCTCCGGGGGCAGCTCATTCCAGAGGGGTGAAGTCCACAGGGCGTAGAGTGGAGGTGGTTACGCACTCCTAGACTAGACCCTCAGCAGGAAAGACACACAGAGGAATCAGCACTGGAATAATCTTGGTTGCATGCAAACACCCACCACCACCCCGCAACGTTGGGTATGTGCAATCAAGAAGAGACCTTTAAAATAAAATAAAAAATCTTTTGCATAGGACCCTGATGACGAATCTATGGCAATGCCTGCCACAGGTGGCACCTGGAACCCTCTCTGCGGAAACGCAAGCCGTCGCCCAGATCAGCTCCACCACGATGCGCGCACACCTCCCGCTGGCCAGCTCATTTTTGGGTCTCTGCCAGCACGTGGGAGACGCCCGTGCGGGGTTGCATGCACAGGGTGCGGGAGAGTACACAGTGGGTGCGATACCCCCTCTGCCCCATTTTTGGTCCCCGGAGGCTTCAGGGAAGCCTGCTAGGCCCAAAACAGGGCACGGTGTGTGTGTGGGAGGGTTAGCGCGTATGCGTGGGGCAGGAGTCATGCGCAGGGGGCGGGGGGGTTGTGCACACATTGCACTATGAGTGTGGGCACACCCGCGCACGCTTTCGGCAGGCGAGGGCAAAAAGGTTTAGCCATCACTGGTGCAGGACAAAAGCCACCTCTTTGGAGCTAGCCACTTTTGCAATGTTAATACCCTGAATTTTTGAAATGGGGAGGAAGCTGGTTTAGCCGTAAAGCTAAGCGGGTTATCCTAAGCTGCTCACACCTCTTCCCACCAACCGATTTTCCTGACTTCATAAGATGAGGCTGGAGCCAGGAGATTCGGCCTGACCTCTTGAGCAACTCAAGCAAAGGCAGGTAAAGGTTAAAAAAAAAACCAACAACTAGAAAGTGTGCAAGAAAAGTGTGGGAGATTAAGCATCCAAGTGCCTTCAACGGCCATTTCTCACACGCAAGAAAACTTGGGTGTTTTCCTAAATCTTACCAGGACAGGAAAAAGGGTAGAGAGAGAGTCCTGGACTTACAGGCCACAATTGAGCCTAAAATTCCCACTGCTAAAGCAAAACAGCGGATGGGCGAGTTCTGCTCCTATTTTACAACTTTTCTTGCCACGGTTGTTAAGTGAATTGCTGCGGTTGTTAAATTAGTAACCCGGTGGTTAAGGGAATCAGGCTTTCCCCTGAAGCACACAGTGAAAGCGTGCAAGGCTTGGAAAATACGGGCCCGAATCCCAAACATGTGACTGGTAAACGAATGGTCGTAAGATCGAGGACCCCACTGTAGCCAAGAATCTACCGCTAATCTGATTGTGCAACATTTTTCCATTTGTGCAAAAAAAAAAAAAAAAAAAAATTAAAATCAAACGAAGGACTTTGAGAAAGCTTTCTCCCCCACACTTTGGACTGTCACTTGACTTCTTTTGACAAGTCAGGTAGAAGGGATACAGGTAGTCCTCGGCTTATGACCACAGCTGAGCCCCAAACTTCTGCTGCTAAACGAAACATACGTTAAGTGATTTTGCCGAACTCCTTTTGCAACCTTCCTTGCCACAACTGTTAACTGAATCGAAGTAGTTTGTTCTATGAGTCAAACTGGTCTTAAAGTGAATCTGAGTCCCCTCCAATGGGCTTGTCAGAAGGTCGCAAAAGGAGAGATCGTGTGGCTCCAGGACACTGCAACCGTCGTAAATAGGAATCAAGAAGTGCCACAGGTCTGGATTTTGATCTCAGGACCGTGGGGCTGCTGTAACGGTCGTTAAGTGTGAAAAAACGGTGCTAAGTCACTTTTTTCAGCGCTGTTGTAACTTGGAATGGTTAATAAAAGAATTGCTGTAAGTCAAGGACTACCTGTATACCTGTGGGCATCTATGTCTGAATGAATATATATAACTACACCTGGAACTCCTATTTTAGGATACTTCATATATATATATATATATATATATATATATATATATAGCACAGGTTCGAATCCCAGTAAGGGTATGGCTAGCTGATGAGAGCTAAATAGCTTGAAATAGATCTATACTAGTCTCCCTTTATTTATTTATAGGGATAGGGATCTGGGCTATATATATATATATATATATATAGCCCAGGTTCAAATCCCAGTAAGGGTATGGCTAGCTGATGAGAGCGAAATAGCTTGAAATAGATCTATACTAGTCTCCCTTTATTTATTTATAGGGATAGGGATCTGGGCTATATATATATATATATATATATATCCTATATATATATATATATATATATCCTATATATATATATATATATCCTATATATATAAGAAGTATCCTAAAATAGGAGTTCCAGGTGTAGTTATAAAAGAAGAAACAGAGGTTGTGATCTCCGGAACTTACAATATATGGCTCACAGCTTTCATTAGTCTCTGCTAACATCAGGTGAGAGGTGGGAGGCGGGTGAATGGGTCTATCACATGCGCAATTGTCAAATTGATTAATGGTGTATAAAGGCAGGTATCTCTTTAATGGGAGTTTTTACACTCTGGCGATGTTAGCAGAGGCTAATGGAAGCTAAGTGAGCAATACAACCATTTTATGATTCTCACTTTTCAAAGTCAGTAGTTTTTTGTTGTTGTTGTTGTTGTTGTTGTTGGGTAGCCCAGCCTGGTACTGAGAAGCAACAGGTGGATAAGGAAGCCGGCACGTAGCCGTTTTTCTAAAGTGCCCGATTCCCCTGGTATTTCGGCATAATTTTCCCTTCCCCCCCCTTCCATTTCTCTTCTCCCACAACCCTTCTTTGTACATATCTCTCTGTACATACATATAAAAAAATTAGTACAGGCTTGACTGTATATTATATATAAATAAACTTTGTTTCTCTTAAGTAGAGTTCTCTGCGCCCAGCCCCCCCCCTTTTTTTGAAGTGGTCCGTTCCAACCCAGGATTAAAAACAAACACCCCCTCCCACGCATGGTGTAAAGAAGCCCCCCCCCTCTCTTCTCCCCTCCCATCTCCCCAACTCAGCTGGCATCATAGAGGTCGGAGAGGGGTCCGCTGAACTGGATGACGCTCTGGCGCTCCTGCTCGCTGTTCTCGCCCACCAAACCGTTGGAGTTCAGCATCATCTCCTCCAAGAGTTCCCGGAAGTTCAGGCTGGCTGGGGAGAAATTGTCTGCCAGGGGGAGGGGCAGGGCTGGCGTCGGGGGCAAGGGTTCGTGCTGGGAAGGGGAGCCGCCGAGCGCCAGGCTGCCCACCAACGCTGCGCTGCTGTCGTAGGGCGCGTGGAAGTTGAACTGCGAGGGGGCAGGGGGGAGTGGAACGTTCGGCGGAGGAGGTGGCGGAGATGGGTGCGTCCAGAAGTCAGGAAGGACTTCCCCGGGTGGGCTGTTGGTCAGATCCCAGACCTCGTCCTGCAGCAAGGAAGTGGGCTGGGCAGAGAGAAATACTGGAGGCTGGCTGAGGTCCAGCGGTGGGACGACCTGCGGGTAGGGCTGGCTGGCCATCATGGGGCCCAACATGGCTTGAAGCTGCTGCTGCTTCTGCTTCTGTTTGACGTTCTCGTCCATCTGCTTCAACTCCTTCAACACCTGATGGACACAATTTTCCGGTATCTTGATCCCTGCAGAAGGGATAAAAATGTACCGAGTCAACTTTTCGGCAGAAGACGAGATGCTCAAATGCCACTTGCCCTCCTCCCGGTTACAGAGAAAGGAAGGGAAAGAAGTCGGCCAGTGAGGAATGAGGGGAGAATATGGGAAAAACAGGTAGTCCTCGACTTACAACCATTTACTTGTAACTTACAATCGTTTAGTGCCTGTTCAAAGTTACAAGGGCACTCTGTGAAAGATTAGAGAACTGGTGAATAGACCGGTTCCTAGTTGAGATTGGGCAGGAAATCGTTCACAGGTGCTCCAGGTGGCTGCTCCTCATTAGGGAACCACAAAAAGTTATTCAATTTATCTAATATTTGTTGTAATTGGAAGATCGGAGGACACTTCTTTATATACGTACCGTATTTTTCGGAGTATAAGACGCACCTTACCCCCCCCCCCCCAAAAAGAGCGTGGAAGTGTTGGTGCATCATATACACCAAATGCAGCCCATTTTTGGCCTCCTGAAGCCCCGTCCCTGCATCCCATTTTTGCGAAAAACGGGTCTTTTTTTGCAAAAACGGAGGCTTTTCTGCCTTCCCTCAGGCCCCAGAAGCACTGTGCAGGTTTCAGCAGTGCTGGGGGAAGGCAAAAATACCCCCATTTATGTGAGAAACAGCCTGTTTTCTGCCCATTTTTCACAAAAACGGGGGCGTTTTTGCCCTCCCGCAGCCCTACTGAAGCCTGCATAGTGCTTCTGTGGGTGGGGGAGGACAAAACCTTTTTTTTCTTACTTACCTCTTCTAAATCTTGATGCGTCTTGTAGTCTGAAAAATACGGTATTTCCTTTAATCTTTAACATGTTCTTTTTCGTGCACTTTTTATTCTTTCTTACTCTTCTTTCTCCTTTAAGTATATCTTGTATTAGTTTCTTTTACAGGTAGTCCTCAACTTACTGGTGCTAAGTGACACCTTTGTTAAGTGAGCTTTGCCCCATTTTACAACCTTTCTTGCCACAGTTGTTAACTGAATATCACTGCAGTTGTTAAGTTAGTCACACGGTTGTTAAGTGAATCTGGCTTCCCCGTAGACTTTGCTTGTCAGAAGGTCACAAAAGGTGATCACATGAACCNTGGCAGAGTGGTGCTGGTAGCCAGGGAGGCCAAAAACAGGCTGCGGGGGACCCTCACAGGGCCCGTTTTTGGCCAGCAGAGTGGTGCAGGAGGCCATGGAGGCGCCTGTCCTTTCCCCCCCTCCCCCCCCCAGCCCACAGAGCAGAACTACAATGCTGATCCGGCCCTCAAAGAAATCCAGTTTGACACCCCTGATGTAGATCTTTAGTGCAAAATAAACTACAGGTAGTCCTCCACTTATGACCACAATTGAGCCCACAATTTCCACTGCTGAGCAAGACAGTGGTGAAATGAGTTGTGCTCCATTTTCCTCTGACCTTTCTTGCCAAAGTTGTTAAGCGAATCACTGCAACTGTTAAGTTAGTAACATGGTTGTAAAGCGAATCTGGCTTCCCCCTCGTCTTTGCTCATCGGAAGATCGCAAAAGGGGGAAATCGCACGACCCCAGGACACTGCAGCCGTCATACATTTGAGTCCGGTGCCAGGGGGTCTGAATTTTGATCATGTGACCGCGGGGATCCCGCAACGGTCATAAAAGCGTGAAAACGGATCATGGGTCACTTTTTTCAGGGGCTGTTTTAACTTTGAACGGTTATGAAACGAATGGTTGTAAGTCGAGAACCGGCTGTATCAGTTGCCTAAGCTAAGAGTAAAGAAACATGAACAAAGGTTTTGTTCCAAATTTGTGATCAACGCTGCAATTGAGTTTTGCAAGCCCTTCTCACTCAAAATCATGTCCACGTTTTGTTTCGAAACACGTGAGAACCAATGTGATGGCATGGCACAAAGGCCAAACAGTCAGAGAACTGGTAGGAGTCCCTTGATTGGCTCCAATTTTGCTCCCAATGTTCTGTTACACTCCGACCTCTCTCACAAACCTGGAGCAGCCACTGACTGCAGATACTCCAGTCCAAACGCTGTAAGCAGAATGACTGCAATCAATCACTCCAGCAGGGCAAGATGATGAGTCCCAGAAGCAAAGAATAATCCCAGCAAGACAAGATAAGCACACCAAAGGAAGGAACGAATCCAAACAGTCCAGAAGGATGCCAGGAAGGCAGGCCACAACGCTAGATGAATTCGGTGTTTGTTCCCGACAAATGCCCCTCCCAACTGCCTCTCCTTTAAACTCCATCCCCAGGTGTGCCTTGTGAAGGGAATCAGGGCCCTTTACTTCCTTGTAAGCCATGCAACCCACGTTGCTCTCTTCCCTGTGCACTCTAGGATGAGGAGGGGGTGGCCTTTGGTCTTCATCGGAGCCCCCTCTCCCTTATTCTACCTCTCCCCTGCTCTGCCCAGGCCGACTTTGCCCTTCCCAGTTTCCTCCACAGCCACTCTCCCGCTCTCTGTCAGCTGTTCGTCTTCCATCTCAGAATCAGAAGACTCCAATGGGGGCATGACAACCGAAGGGTCGAGATTTTAAGAAAGAGTGTTGGGTTTTCACAAAGAACTGGAGAATGATTTATAATCAAACGAAAGTTCATTATAACTTTCCCCCGACTCGTACCGCAGGGCGAGAGAAGCAGGGACGAGAACCACCGTGTAGAACAGAAGCTGAGGGAAAGGGTGCATGCAGCTTACCTTTCTCCATGGTCATGAAGCCGTATCGCATCTCCTTGCAAGAGATTCCCACGGAGAGGAGGGACTGCTTCATTTCTGAAAACCAGGGATTAATTTTAACAGGTGGAAAGCAGGTAATTGACAAGGCATATTACATTGACTTCCCTGCGGATTAACTGTAATGCGGCGTTTTAAAAAATGCAGCGGCCTCAAAAACCAAGGTAAGGGTTTTCAACCAAGTCGGAATCAGAATAGAGCTGGAAGGCACCTTGGAGGTCTTCTAGTCCAGCCCCCTGCTGGGGCAGGAGATCCTATAATCATTCTGAACAAACGGGTGTCCATTTTTCTTTTCCTGAAAAATCTCCAGTGTTGGATCACCCACAACTTCTGGAGGCCAGCTGTTCCACTGGTTAATTGTCCTCACTGCTAGGAAGTTTCTCCTTCATTGAGGTTGCTTCTTTCCTTGATTAGTTCAATCAATTCAAGAATTCTGCAAGGAAGCGGGACGCCATTGGTTTGGGGGCATATGCTTGACTAATCCTCAGAGTTTCGAATTAATCATTTAACCAATGGAATCCTGAATTCTGTCTAGTCCCCAAACTTCATGTACTCGTGTGGCCGAAATGGGAAGATACTTTTTGTGGCTAATCATTACAAGAAACTTTTTTTTTTTGAAATCAGTTTTTTGGCAGCAGAACATCTTTCTCTACCAACAGAAACAAAATATTTCTTTGGCTGCAGGTATTCCAGCAGATAGTGGCCTCCAATTGCAAAATCCTCAGATATGGCATGGGATAAAGAATGCAGGATAACAGAGTTGGAAAGGACCTTGGAGGTCTTCTAGATCAACTCCCTGCTCAAGCAGGGGTCCCTGGCCTATTTGATTCCAGACAAGTGGTTGTCCAATCACTTCTTAAAAGCTTCCAGTGATGGAGCACACCCAAAACTTCTGGAGGCAAGTTGTTCCACTGATTAATTGTTCTTTTTTTTTTTGTATTTGTAAATTTTTATTTTATTTTGATTCACACATCATCTTGCATTAAACAGTGTGTCGTCCGGTACATTTATTTTGTGCAAATATTTTATACAATAACAATTACAATTTACAGCCATATTTATTATTGTATCTATTCTTAACTTCATATTAATACTAATATATACCATACATAATACTATAGCAATCCTCTTCTTAACTTATTTAATTTTGTTAAAGTATTGTCTCTATTTTACTCTTCTGTTTTTTTCCACTTTTCATATTTATTCTCTGACCATTGATCAAATAATTCCCATGTATTATAATAATCAGATTGTTCCTTCTCTTTAATTTCAAATGTTAGCCTATTCATTTCTACACATTCTAATATCTTCCTGATCACTGATTAATTGTTCTCGGTGTTAGGAAATTGTCTCCTAAGTTCCAGGTTGGTTCTCTTAAACTTGTTAAGTTTCCATTGCAATGACCTCTGAATCCCTTCTCCAAGGTTAAGTTTTGATTAGATGGTGGGAACCATCCAGAAGCTTTATACCTCACATCTTTCATTACAGCTAAAGATCAGCATTGTCCTCGTCTTTATTAACATTATAGTCCATCCCGTCCTTGCTTACCGCTGAAAAAAGCCGCATCCCCTTCTTGATAAATCTCTGGCACGGGGACTTTGCTCTCCATCTGCTGGAAGATGGTGCGCAGGACTTTATCGAGCGCTCTGATTCCATACTGGGGAGAGGCAGAGAAAGGCATCAAAAATCTAGGCCCTACACAGCAGATGGAGCAACTCACATTAAGGAAATCAACCCCTTCCCCTGTTCAGCCACCCCAGGTCATAAAATGGGGCAAAACTCAAGTTATCAAAAGCTTGGCTTAGCAAGGGAAAACTTGGGCTCAATTGTGGCCGTAATCTGAAGATGACCTGTACTTTGTTGGGTAATCAATGAGATGTTTGAAAACAACCAAGCTCAGAGAGCATCCAAGGTTGTACGTTTTAAGGGTTAAACTCCTGTCCTCATTTAACCCGAAGAAAATACAGCACTAGCTGTATTTTCCACCATGCGCATCTGCTTGAAATGTTATCCTTTGAGGACCCCACGCACCAGATGCCGTGAAAAATAAAGGCAAAGGTTACGAATCCATAGCAACCTTTTCTAACTTAACAGATTTTACCGAAAGGGCAGGAGTTTTGGGAGAGCTTCAGCCATAACCTCACCTTATTCTCAAAGTTGTACTTGCTGAGGTCCCGGGATTCAGTCGCTCTTCGGTCACCGTGAGTTAAGGCACCCTGTGGTCAAGAGAAGGTCACACATGAAACTGGACACAACAACAACAGTTCGTGTTTTGCCATGGTTTATTCTATGTTTTGCTAACACAATTAAGAGCCCAGCTTGACTTCTATTCTTGGAGTAATTTCCTATCGGGGGAAAAACCCAAATCATTTAAGGGTTCATCTCACTTTTTCTCCGCTGGTTTCTTTCTTGCAGAGTTAACTTCTAATGTTAAAGTTTTTAACATTCTAATTGTTTCATGCTGTTGCTTTATGGTGTTGTAAGCCATCCAGAATCACTTGCTGGTGAGATAGCCGGTATATAAATTTAATAAATAAAATATAATAGTCGTTGCTAATTGACTAGAAATGATAATCAAATGAGAGTTACCTGTTTAATAAATAAAATAAANATCTATCTATCTATCTATCTATCTATCTATCTATCTATCTATCTATCTATCTATCTATCTATCTATCTATCTATCTATCTATCGCTGTGTATGTGTGTGTGTATGTATGTATGTTCCGGCATAACTCTGGAACGCCTCAACCAAGTTCAATCAAACTTGGTACACAGATGACTTACTCTCTGGAGACAAGTACTGTTGGGGTAACACCCCTCAGTGTTTGTGTTAAGATGCAGCCTATTGTGCCTTTAAATGGATTCTACCGTACTGCCTTTAAATGGATTCTACTGTACAGCACAGTGGAATTGCCATGGTAACAGCTTCACACTACTCCACAAGGGGGCTCCCTCTGATGAGCGGGAAAATCCAGCATTAGAAATTACATTTGGTCTGTGCATTTTCCCCCTATAAATAAATATCCGGGTAACGCCGGGTTATCGGCTAGTCCTTAATAAAAATTATAAACCCCCCCCCTCCAAAAAAAAGGCCACCTTTATGTTCCTAAGGCAAAGATCCTTTGAACGCTCTGGCCCAGCTGAGTGGCTGGCTATGAGTTGAGCTCAAGCTTTTTGTGGTTTGCTGTTTTTACTGTTAATTGGCTGCTCTCTTTTCCATCCCTTTCTCTCCATCCCCAGCGACTCTCAACCAGGTTTCCATGGACTTAGGGGCCACTTCCAAATCTGGCAATTGATTGTCAGGATCTGGGATTGAGGCGATTCCACCCTCTGCCCCAAGGAGAACAGCTTGAGTTGGCCACTCACCCACTTGCTTCTTCTTCTCTTTGGTCTTGAGGCGGACGATCTGCAGGTAGCTGGTGTTGGTGATATTAGCCATGATGCTAGCGATTTTGGTCCAGACGCGCAAGAGAGCCCCGCAGAGCATGTAATAGTGCCGTAAACGCGTGCCTTGGAAACATTCCTTTCTTTCCTGGACAACCTTGCAGTTCCTGTTCCTGGGAGGGTGAGGGTTGTTAATGGGGAAGGTTGCGGGAAGCGGGGGGTGGGGAGGGGGGGAGGAAACACAAGAAAGAAAACACACCGTCAGGTGCAAAAGTTCATGTCCACAGGTCAATCTTCGATTCAACTGATTTATTGCTGTAGCCTTCGCACAAGAATCTTCTCAACTAACAGTTGGCACCTGCTTAGAGTTAGATAAGCGTCAACAGCACTCAAGGAGGGGCTGGACTTAGTTCGTTTCTGGCTATGCAGGGATTCTAGGCTGATCCCTCTTTTCACACCGCCTCCCTCATCATGCTGCTAGCCTGCAAGGGTGGCTGTATGAAAACAGACACTGCTTTCTTCTTGCTCTTCCTCCCTTCTGTTGTGGCCTGTCGGCCGCCGGCCCCTCCAGCAATTGAATCAGATGAGGAAGAGTCAAGGTCAGCATCAAGGCTGAGCTCCGAGGGGGAAGAGGGAATGGAACTGGCAGAGAGAGAGACAAATCCTGGGCTGTCCATCAGCCCTCAGATGGAGGGTCAACAGCCCCCAGCTCTGGAGGTGGCTGATAAGGAAGAGAAGGAACACCTAGGTCCAGTGATGCGTGGATGTGCAGAAGGCAGGGGAGAGGAGAGCAGTGGAAATCTATGGGCTGGTCCTTGGGGCGGAAGAGCCACCGCTGCTAACAAAGCCCCACCCTAGCTTTGGAGATAAAAGGAGGGGGTGGAGATAAATAGATGTGGCAGACAACTATTCATCTCCTGGCCGGATTTGTCAGCCTGCTGTGAGAGAGAGACTTTTTGCCAGGACAATCCTAATAAAGGAATCGGTGATTAAGTACATAACGTTTGTCGTGGTTGGGGAGCTGGGACAGAACAACTTCCTTCACCTCCTGAGCTCACCTCCAGATCTTTGCAAGGTAAGTGAGTGGTTGTGAGGGGCAGAGGAGGCCGAAGTGGCTGTGGGGACACCAAGGTGTCGGAAGTGGCTGTTGGGGGGGGGGGAGGCCTTGGGAGGTCCAAGGCACGCATCCTCAAAGCATCCCATGCACACTTAACAATCCATGTATTCGGTTAACAAATGCATTGGGGAGAGAAGGGATACGGGCCAGTCATTAATGACGTGACTCATTTAACATCTTGACTTCCCACAATAATGGGCAGGCTCCATTGCTGTCATAACGTGAGGATTTCCTGTACATGCTAGTTGCCAAGCAGCCTATTTTCTCAGAGTGCGCACAGTGTGACTACTATTTCAAGACAACCCAGGAGCAAAATACAGTACACAGAGGTTTGTCTTTCAAACAGTGGTTTACAGTATATACAGGACTTATGTATACATACATACATGTGTCCGGCAAATACTAGGCAATCAATCAATCTTCAACTCTACACGGAGAACCACAATGGAGGGAGGTACACGAGGAGACAAATACAGGAGGAGAGAGATTCAGGAAGAGAGAGATACAGGAAGAGAGAGATACAGGAAGAGAGAGAGAGAGAGACGCCCTCACATGGCCTCTCTTATATATACAGCTTCTTAAAGTGGCAGTAACCCTGCTGATTCAACCTCATGTCATCATCTCAGTTTACAGACTTATAGCAGCTATTAAATCGTCATTACCCCAACATATTTTGGTCATCACCCTAGGGACACGGTGACGGTTGAAATCATTTTTTTCAGCACTGTTGTAATTTTGAATTAATTAATTAACTAACTAACTAATTAAATTAATAAAGGGTCGGACATTGAGGGATGTCTGTAAACATTACAACTCTATCAACATTGCCATCAGAAGGGCCTAACAATCTAGCAACCTACGCGCATCTTCTTCATTGTCTAAGAAACTAAGAAGCCTCTTCTTTTCTCAATGTTTCTGTCTTCGGAGCAACCCTCGAAGGTGACTTACCTTGCGGTGTGGTTGCAGTGCTTCAGGGAGAATTCGTAAGTGCTCTTCCAGTGGGGCTCAGCATCCGCCGGTGACACCTGCAGGGAAGGCCAGCGAGAAGGAACCATCAAGGAATGGCGGAGGAGGAAAAAAATGGATCTGCGGTCAGAACCGCCACTGCTGCAGACTGGGCCTTACCGGCTGGTACTTTCTAAAAAGGCTGTCCATGGTCTCCAGCTGGCTCTGCTTCCCGATGTTGGGCTTGTAGAGGGTGAAGTATTTCCCACGGGTCTGTTCGGCTAGGAGGCTAATATATTTGTTGCTTCGGAACTGCAGGGGGGCAGAGTGCTCGTAGTTAGTTTAGGGAGTGGGAGAGAGAGAGAGGTGCTCCCCAAAACTAGGTACTGCAGATTAAGAACCTGGAGTCAGAGGTGGGCGAATGAGCTCAATGCACGGACGATTAGGTCCTTAAAAAGGTGGCAATGATCAGGTAAATCTCAAGACCTAAAATGGACACCTAACATCAAAAACGTCATCAAAAAAGCACAGGAAAGAATGTTTTTTCTGCGCCAACTCAGGAAGTTCAAATTGCCCAGGGAGTTGCTGATTCAGTTCTACAGAGGAATTATTGAGTCTGTCATCCGCACCTCCATAACTGTCTGGTTTGGCTCTGCAACCCAACAAGACAGACACAGACTTCAGAGGATAATCAGAGCTGCAGAAAAAACAGGCCCGTTTTTTGACAAAAAAAAATTGCATGCATGGCCTTATAGAGTGCTGCTGGGGGCTGGGGGGAGGGAGGCCCATTTTTGCTCATTTCTGCCTTCCCCAGCCCCCAGGAGCTCTCTGAAAGCCTCCTAAAGGCTCTGCACGGCCATTTTGGTGAAGGGGCGGGGCTTCAGGAGGCAAAAAATGCTGTATTCCGTGTATAAGACGCACCCAGATTTTCAGCCTCTTTTTTGAGGAAAAAAGGTGCATCTTATACCCTGAAAAATACGGTAGCTACCAATCTGCCCTCCAGAAGGACCTGTACACTGCCCAAATCAAAAAGAGGGCTGTGAAAATATCTACAGACCCCTCACATCCTGGACATAAATTGTTTCAACTTATACTCTCCTAATGAGGCTATAAAGCATTGCACACCAGAACAACTAGACATAAGGACAGGTTTTTTTCCCCGAATGCCATCATTCTGCTTAATAACTAATTTCCACTACACTGTCAAATAATTTACTAAGAATGTATTACTATTATTCTTCTCTCCCTTCCTAGTACCTATCTCTTCCCACTTATGACTATAACCATGTTGCTTGTATCTTTCAATTTATATTGTTTTTATTTGTTTCCTAGTATGATTTGATAGCTTATTACTAAACTTGACTATCACTAAGTGTTGAATCTTTTTATTCTTAATGAATGTATTTTATTCTCCTTATGTACACTGAGAGCATCTGCACCAAAGACAAATTCCTTGTGTGTCCAATCACACTTGGCCANCTAGAAATGATAATCAAATGAGAGTTACCTGTTTAATAAATAAAATAAAATAGTCGTTGTTAATTGACTAGAAATGATAATCAAATGAGAGTTACATGTTTGAAGAGAGTATTTCTTATAAGGTCACCAGCTGGAGGTGGATCAAAAAAAGGGCTTGCATCAGTGGTGAAATTCAAATTTTTTCCCTACTGGTTCTGTGTGTGTGGCTTGGTGGTCATATGACTGGGCGGGCATGGCTTGGTGGTCATGTGACCGGGTGGGCGTGGCTACACAACTGACTCAGCACACAATATAAAAGGAGCTGGGTTTCACACAAAATATCCTCTGCAACAAGCAGGAACCTCACAGACAATCAGGCACAGCTGATTGTCACACAGCTGATTGTGGGAACTTTTCAAAAACTTTTTAAAGCCTTTTTTTACTACTGGTTCAGGCGAACCAGCCCAAACTGGTAGCATTTAAACCCTGTCTCACATCCTGCTCCTGAGCTAAATGGCAAGAGGCCAAGGAACCGCATGTCCTTTTGATGTTTCAGACTACAACTCCCACAATCCTTTACTGTGGTGCTTGGAGTTGATACGACAAAAACTGAACTAGGTTTGAAACAGGAAAGCAGCTTGGGAGAGTTTCTCCCTCCCGTTTTCATTTCAGCTTGGTTTTTAATGCTTTTAATCTAATTTTAATTGGGTTCTTTTTTTTTTTTACACTTTTAAACTTCCTGCTACTTTGTAAGCCACCCAGAAACGCTGAGTTAATGAGATGGGTGGCATAGAAATGTAATAAATAAATACATTTCCCAGATAAAAACTTTTACAAGTCCCTGAGAAGCTGACTGGGCCAAGTTGCCGCAGATGATTCCACGTGGGATAACGCAATGCGATCAATATTTCTTTGACAATATTTGCGTTGACAAAAATGGAAAGAATGTCGAAGAAACAGTGGCGCGTAACATTTATCACACGGAGTTATCCCGCACGGAATCGTCTGTGGCGAGTTGTCTAAGGTGAGTCAACTGCGGCAATTTGGCCATGCCAAGTTGGCTGCAACGAGTTGTCCTAGACCGGGGGTCGGCAACCTGCAGCTCTGGAGCCGCATGTGGCTTTTTCATCCCTCTGCTGTGGCTCCCTGTCGCTCAAAATACGTGTCACAGCCACCAATGTTGCACACCTGCGGCACACGATTGATTGAGCTTTCCGATCCCCGGTAGTTTTTGGGGTTCCCGGTCTTTTCTTTACTTGAGAGACCGCCTACTGCCAATAACCTCCACTAGGCCGATACGATCCCATAGATTAGGCCTCCTCCGAATTCCATCAGCNAGGCACGTGAGCCTTTGCAGGAAGCAACTTTGTTCCTTCTGGCCGGTTTAAATTCTGAAGCTCCGTTTTGACTCTGTCCTCCATGTGGCCTTGCAAAGCTAATTGGCAATTAGGTCTTTGGCAGCATTTCAAGGGAGATAAAAGGTGGGTGCTTGGTGCTTATCAGCCTTATCCCGAAAGACTGTGGCAGACTCCTGTTGGACTCTTTACAAACTATTTGTGACTCATTATGGGCTGCGAATGAACGTAATTCAGACGTTGAAATAAAAAGAGGGTCTTTGGGACTAAGTGTGTGCTTTGTACCGTCTTGGGAAGCCTAGGACAGCACATATTGTGAGCTCAAAATATTTTGTCACTAGCGGCATCTTACTGAAAGTACACAAGCTTTGCAAGTAGAACAGTGTTTCTCAACCTTAGCAATTCTAAGATGCGTGGACTTCAACTCCCAGAATTCCCCAGCTGGGGAATTCTGGGAGTTGAAGTCCACACATCTTAGAATTGCTAAGGTTGAGAAGCACCAGTGGCATCTCCAGACAAAGCTAGGAAAATTCCAGTCTGAGGCTTGTAAGAGGCAGCCGAGTCAGAAGAAACAAAGGTGGCCCATTGCCAAAAAGAGGTTGGCGAACCCTCTTGCGAAGTCTTACCTTGTAAAAGACCACCTGGCCATCCTGTGGGTGGCCTGGCGTTAGGAAAACCTCTTTGCTCTCTTCGTAGATTTCGTCAATGCCCGGAGCCAAGTCTGAGGAATGGAGAAGGCGGTGAGAATGAGGAGGATGATATCTGGGGTTGGATGAAGCTCAAAAAAAAACCCCAGATAACTTCTTAACTTATCTCTCCCTCCCCTGACATGCACATGTATGACCATTGTTCCATCTCCCCTTCCATTGCCCAGTCTTGCTGTTGTGTAATGTTGTAGTGTAGCCGGGGCTGCAAATTCAAAAAATTGAGTCCACCCCTTTCGCCAAGTAATCTGACTTACGGGACACCACAGAATAGAGTGACCCAACAAAAGCGCACCCGACAACAGCGCGCCGACAAAACTGTGTCGATAAAACCGCGACGTCGATAGCATACTCACAAAGGCGCGCCGACAGAAGCGCCATTACGGTTAAGGTAAGGGTTAGGATAAGGTGCTTTACTGCAGGCCACTTCAGCTGACTGTTATCTGCAGTTCAGCGGTTCTAATCTCACTGGCTCAAGATTGACTCAGCCTTCCATCCTTCCGAGGTGG